TGTCATTTCCCTATTAGTAAATTTACTGTCTTCTAGAATCACATGATCATCATCTTGCCAAAGAACAATAATGATGACAGGCTGGACACTACTTTAATAGTAGCTGGGTGATGCTTTGAAGGCACTTTAAGTCCCTGGCCAAAGATTCTAATTTCAAATCAGATTCCCCCAGAACTGAAGAAGCTTCTTGGATGAGAAGCAAAATGTCTTCAAGGAAAAACAAAGGAAGACCAGTTGCCTCTTGAAAAAGCAACTTTGGGACCCCCAATTACTACTTCTGATGCTGCAAAATGATTATCTATCACCATGTAAGTGTCTTTATTTAGAGTATCTCCAGCACTGATATTCAGGTTTACAGAATGTGCTAAACTCTTATTCTGGTCTAGCAAACCATTTTAGTATCCAAACCAGCGGTGGGTTGCCCCCAGTTTGGACCAGTTTGCAAGAACTGGTAGTAAAACCACTGGGAGGCCCCACCCACCACCCTGGATGTTGTCATCAGCGATCTGCGCAATCCCGTTGCAAACCAGTAGTAAAGGTAAGTAGAACCTATCCCTGATCCAAACAAACCATGTTATTGCTTGGGACAATTTGGTCCACTAAACAAGCTAAGATAATGGCTGAATTCTGCCAACTTCCCCAATCCTATTTTAGCACAGGTCCTACATTTTGGCAAGCTCAGCAGGTAAGCATCCAAATACATTTTACAGTGAATAAATTTATTATAAATTGATTTATTTTCCAGCTATTTAGTGATTATGATCTAACCGATTTCCTGCTAACAATGCACATTGTGCTTTACAGAATTAGAATAAAGTAACATTCCTGACCTAAAATAGTCTAAAAACAAGCACTTTTAGGAAGACGAAAGCAACAGCATAGAGAGAAAAAGTTGTATTTAGTTTTATGTATTTAAGCATGTGTGTATTTCTGGTTTAAATAAGGAAGTTACTCAGTTAAACAACGCCCCTCACCTATACAAAACTGTCATTAATTGGACAAACCACAAACTAACTTATATTATATACAAGGTTTATAACTTTCTTTTTCCCTGGAAGTTTGATTGGGACTTTGACCTCCTCAGTCATAAGTGGATAAATGATAAAAGTGCTGAATATATTTACTGGATCATTTGCAAAAAAGAATCCAGCTATTTGGGAATATTTTCAGCATAAATTATCCCATGGAAATTGAATACTCAAAATACTAAAACAAAATCAATCATGAAACTGAAAAATCTGCTAGGGAGTATCATTTCTTAAGTGAGAAAAAGGGCACCCTTACAGTTAAAGATTCAAGAATGTGGTGGTTCAAGATGATCCAAAAGGAATAGTTTTTTTCTATACATTTTGATCCTAAGATTTCTATATTTGGTGCCATATGGCAATATCTCTTACATTGGACAAAGCAGCAGTTGTGTTAGCTGAATATGTTTTTCAACAGCCACAGAGAAACTGAAAGCTTGCCACATTCTGGTAATATGTTGCCAGTTAGAAACTACAGTGGTGTTTGAAAGTTTGTGAACCAGGGGTGAAGTCCAGCAGGTTCTGACAGGTTCTGGAGAACCGGTAGTGGAAATTTTGAGTAGTTCGGAGAACCGGCAAATACCATCTCTGGCTGGCCCCAGAGTGGGGTGGGAATGGAGATTTTGCAATATCCTTCCCCCAGGAGTGGGGGGAAATGGGGATTTTGCAGTATCCTACCTCTGGAGTAGGGTGGGAATGGAGATTTTGCAGTATCCTTCTCCTGCCACGCCCACCACACCATGCCCACCACGCCACACCCACAGAACCGGTAGTAAAAAATTTGGATTTCACCACTGTTGTGAACCCTTTTATTCCTGCATAAAAATGGCCTAAAACATGATCTATTCTTCACCCAAGTCCTACAATTTGATAAAGGAAATTCAATTAAACAAACAAATAAAAAATGTTATACTTGTTATGTTATACATTGATTTATTGAAGAAAGTGATCCAAAGCTACATATTTCTATTCTCTTTATCTATATTTAGGAGTTGGATGGAATACAGATCATGTTTTAGGTCATCTTATGCAGAAGTATTGATAATTCAAGAGGGTTCACAAACTTTTATGCAACACTGTACGATATCCCAAAATGGAGGGCTAGTCTTATTTTTTTAACCAAGCGTAATAGTAGTAAATCAAGCTAGCCTATTTATTTATTAATTATATGTAGTCCTCAACTTATGACCACAATTGAGCCAAACATTTTTGTTGCTAAGCGAGAGTTGTTAAGTGAGTATTGTCCCATTTTATGACCCTTCTTGCCACAGTTGTTAAGTGAATCAGTGCAGTTAAAGTTAATAACACTGTTCTTAAGCAAATCTGGCTTCCCTATTGACTTTACTCATCAGAAGGTCACAAAAGGCGATCACATGATCTCAGGACACTGCAATTGTCGTAAATATGAGTCAGTTGCTAAACATCTGAATTTTGATCACCTGACCGTGGGGGAAGGTACAACAGTTGTAAGTGTGAAAAATGGTCATAAGTCACTTTTTTCAGCACCGTTGTACTTGTGAACAGTCCCTAAATGAAGCATTGTAAGTTGACGATTACTCATAGTCTGTGCTAGAAAGGAGATTTGAGATGTCCAAGAAATCTGAACTGGAACACAAATTAGATGGAATGTGAATTCTGTTAGTATTTCATATTCAGTCTGAATATATACCAATGTAAATTGTGTATCATAGTTATGCCACCGGTTTTCAGCAACCTCTTTCTGCAAAACCTGAACTCTAGATAAGCACCAGCCTTCTTAAAACTTAAAACTCTCAGAAAAAGGGTACTGTAAATGACAATTTATTGAGTAATCAATATACACATAAAATAGGCATATAAGACGGATAATTTTTAAATCAGGACCTTCTACCTTGATATTTAACATGGTTCTTAACTTTCAAATTTTGGATTAGCAATTACTACAAGCAGTCCTCAATTTACAACCATTCGTTTAGTGAGTGTTCAAAGTTACAATGACACTGAAATAAGGGACGTATGATTTGTTCTTGCACTTAGAACCATCACACCATCCCCACAATTATGTGATCAAAATTCAGGCATTTGGCAACTGGCCTGTATTAATGACGGTTGCAATGTCCTGAGGACACGTGATGGTCATTTGCAACCTTCCCAGCCAGCTTCCAACAAGCAAAATCAATGGGTCAAGTCAGATTCACTTAACAACTATGTGGTTTACTTAACAACTGCAGTGATTTGCTTAACAATCATGGCAAAAAAAAAAAAACTTTGTAAAACCAAGTGTGACTCACTTAACAACCTCTTAGCAACGGAAATTCTGGTTGTAAGTCAATGACTGCTTGTACTTCTAATGGATGAAATATGTATGATATTAAATAGGAAGGGATTAATGAACATAGAATACTTCTAAAACTAGGTATTTGCTAGACAGCCACTCAAAAGTCTGCAAAGCAATGTATTTGGTAAAATAAATAAAGATAACACAACCTGTTGAGATCTACAAGGCAGAATTTTGTGAAACAGCAAAACAATGGATGCAGCTGATGTTTGGATTTCCTAATGTCTAGAAGAAAGCATTTTATTCATGATCAGGAGGGATGATGAAATATGTCCTAGATACTGAGAAATTGAAATCTAAATATGGGAGATATGGCCTCGTAACACATGGAAGTATTAATAAACTTCTGTCTCATTTGGTAAGCAGCTGTCCAATGATATATAACTATAGCTATCTGACTGTAAATCTCTTCCAACCTGAATAGAAAATATGGACTACAAATAGCAAAAGAAATTCTGACAACGTGGAATGGCATACATTGTATGCCATACAATATCATATTCAAAATTTACTATACAGTAAAAAATACAGCATTAAAATAATGGCTTTTATTCATTGGAATGGAGAATTTAGTTAGGGCATTATTGCAATCTTATTTAGAAATGACATACCCACATACATACATAGATTACAATCTTGTTTAAAAATGACGAAGTGTGTCTAATATATATATATAATATCAGTCGCGAAATTCAAATTTTTTTACTACTGGTTCTGTGGGCGTGGCTTGGTGGGCATGGCGTGGCTTAGTGGGCATGGTAGGGAAAGAATACTGCAAAATCTCCATTCCCACCAGGGGTGGGTTCTAATTTTTTTACTACTGGTTCTGTGGGCGTGGCTTATTTTGTGGGCATGGCTTGATGGTCATGTGACAATTATTTAGGATTTAGCAGAGGTTCTGGTCTACCAGGCTTTTAACTGCTTGCAGAGTTGTCCCGATCTACCCATTTATTTTTGCAGGCACTGGTCTACCCATTTATTTTTGCAGGCACCGGTCTACTCATTTGTTTTCTTTTAACACTGATCAGCTGTAGGGCGGCCCTTTGAAGCCCCGCGGCAAGAGTTTAAACAGTTTTTTTCCCTCTAGCCATCAGCTGGGACTCAGGAGGCAGCAATAGATAGGGGGTGGGGCCAAATAAAAGGTAAGAATAATGCAGGGGGTTGGGGGGTGGGGAGGGTGGGGGGGGAAGAACCAGTTTGGTGACATCATATCATCACCGCTATTGGCTCGGCGGAACTGGGTGGAACCGGGCTGAACCCACCACTGATTCCCACTCAACTCCAGGGGAGGATACTGCAAAATCTCCATTCCCTCCCCACTCTGGGGCCAGCCAGAGGTGGTATTTGCTGGTACTCCGAACTACTCAAAATTCCCGCTACCGGTTCTCCAGAACCTGTCAGAACTTGCTGAATTTCATCCCTGGTATATATGTATATATATACACTTATTATAATTCCTGCTTTAGTTCATTTATCAAATCACGAACATTTATATTAAATATACAAGACAGTTGTCACGGTTTAAAGTAATGCTGATTGAACTATGACATGATAAACATGAAAGTTCTTAAACTGTCTGAAGAGGTAACACTTCAAGATACTCCAATGTTTGAGGCAGACTATAATGTGGCAGTTGTTAAATATCTCATTTACCAAAATGCAGTTTTAACTGGACTTTTTTTATAACTGTAATTTCTGATCTATAAGGAGACAATGAAACTGCTGAAACATCTACACCTGCTACAGCAAATATTCTATATTTTCAATATAAAATTCAAAGACACCAGAGAGCATCCTGGTAGAAGACAAATGCATTACTCCTAGTAAGATTGAAAAAAGAATTAATAAGCCAGCTGTTTTCATTTCTTGTGATAGGATATTCAGTAGTGCAGGAAGCCTAGTTAAAATGCTCTGTCTGTCCATTTATCCATCCACTGGCTGTTTTCTTCCTAAAGTATGAAAAGGGAGCAAGAAATAGTAAACCAATTAAATAAAAGATAGGAGATGGGGGGGGGGGAGGAAATACTGTAGAGCTGAATCTACTGTACTTTATGTCAACATCACTCAGAATACAGCACCATCCTTGATACCATTTCCACTATGTCAATATTATTCTCTATACATTGTGACATTTTATTCAAACCTTTTGCCTATCTTTTTGAGTTCTCATTAATACTATCCAAGCACTGCTTTTTCAGTTTTCTTCCTTGTGACTCTTTTACTATTTCTTCATATATTTGTTCTGCACTTTGATCACGTCTATATAAGAGCAAAATATCTCAGTGCATTTCTTGCTTTCACACTGAATCACTCATGTTTGTATTCAGTTCACATTTATTGAGCATCTATTCATTCTTAACTCTGTCTTCTTTTATCATACTCCTTAGATACTCCATTTCCTGTATTTTAAAGTTACTTTTATATATCTCCTGATATATCCAACCTTCACTTCCATGTAATAGTTAGGACAAGCTCACTTAACAATGTTCTAAACTTATTTCAAGGAACATTCATTTTCCACAACAGATGACATACAAACTTGTAATAAGCATTTGCAATCTTAAAATTTTTCAATTTCCCATCTTTAGAAACATTCTATCAAAATATACAGTACATATTTTTGCTTAGTCTAGGTATGCATATCTTGCAGTTGTTATCTTACCCATCAAACACAATCGTCTTGGTCACTGATATACCATCTTTCAAATCTATATTCCCAATTAACATTTGCAGTCAATCATTCAAGTTCTTAGCCAACAACATTACATTATTTGTGTCATCACAAAGAACACATCTCTGTCAACACAACTCTATCATCAATCCAAGCATCACAGGGATTCCTTATAGGTTTATTCATAAATGTATTAAACAAGCTTGTTTAATCACATATCCTTGTCCTTTTCAATGCTCAATTGAAACCTTTCAGTACAAATTCTATTAATTTTCATGCATGGTTTACTCCCATCATATATTTCTTTGTATTCAGTAACCAATTTTTAACTTTGTACTCAAATAAAATATTCCATAATTTACTTTATCATACTTTTTTCCCTCAATTGACATAAATTCTTTTTTTTTTTCATCCTTCTATTTGTAAATGACCTGTTGAAGAGCAAATCTGATCTTCATACCCACTGCTTGGCAAAGGAACATACTTAACTCCCCAAATTTTGTACTTCTTGTACCATTTTGATCAGAATTTTGCCAAATGTCTTCCCAGGCGCATGTAATAAATTCATTGCCAGGTAATTTTGCGTTCACGTATGCCACTTTTCCCTTTATGGAAGGGAACAGTAATAGCATTTTCCCAACTATCTGGCACAGAAGTAGTCTGCACACACTTAATAAACAAATTGCACAGCCGTTTCTTAACTATACTATAACTATGTTTTAACATTTCCCCAGTTCTACCATCTAAACATGTAGTCCTGCCATTTTCTTCATTTTACCACAATATTTCTTTTTCATTATACTTCTCTTGACATTAATATTTGTAGGATTTATTTCAATGTTAGTTTTCAACATGCCACTATAATTCCATATGAATCTTTAAAATACTCCATTATTCCCTTATTCTATGTTTATCCCAAATTATTTTATCAGTTTTATTTTTAATTCTCTTCCTGTCTAGCTTTGGTTGCCTAATTCCAAGTCAGTTCTTTATTTCCATAAAATCTCTCTTTTTATCTTAAGTTTTTCTTTACTATATTTTTCCGACTGTATTTTTATGCACATGGGACAAAAATTTATTTTTAGCAATTGCTTTCTTTTATGCATTTTCTCATCCACATATTTTAATCCCATTAAACATCTTTTTCATACTTCTCATTAGTGTAAGTTCCACACACTTATAACACAATTCTTTTCCTTCTCTCCCAACATCTTCAACATCTTTTCCCCATGTCTATTTTCCACTCATTTAGTTGAAACATTATCCTATTTTTAATATTTTAGACTAATATTTTATCTTCCTATATTCTGATTTTATTCACTTTTCCTCTTTTCTTCCTTTTCAATTTTTTCCTAAAATCCTTTCTTGACATTACCTAAAAGTAGTCTATGTCTCGTTTAAAGTCTCTCATGCTACCATATGCTTCACTTATTCTCTCAGTGTTTCAGTATAAACAATCAAATCAATCATGCTCTTAGATTATATTAATTCTTTTATCAGATGTACTATGAATTCAGTTAGGCTTAAATCACATGTTTGAAACAAGCAGACATTTTTCCAAGTATGTACTCACCAAATAGTCACTATGCTCATCCACTTTGGCATCTCGAGTGGCCAAAAAACATTTTGCATTATGTTTCTAAGTCATTGCCTTATCCTTTCATGTCATCTAACAGAATATTTTTTCCCATGGATCATGTTCATTCAAAATGTTGCATAGATTTTCCCAAAACTCATGTGTAAGTGATTCTTTCATTATCATTACTGGAGCAGAACAGACAACTATCTCTGAATTCCTATGTTCATATTCTCCCATAACAACCTACAAGGCTCCAGTTCAAACTTTCTGACATACATTCCAGTCCTCTCATTCACTATTAAATCTATACCTCCATATATTCATCAAGGCCACTCCTCAAAATCACACTATTCTCATTCCTATTTTACTGTTCCCCTTCCTTTTAGACTGGTAGACATATTAATTCATAGCCTGTAGATTTATTCCTCTCATATTCCAAGTCCCCAAACCATGATCATCATCAGATTGGTTCTACTGCTGAAATCTTGCATCCAAGATGCAAATAATTGACTAAATTATTAATTACCCACTGTAAAAATTCAAGTTTTGACTATTCTTGGTACTATTCCTCTTGTAGACCTGTTTGAAAATCATTAAGTGTATCTATCAGGGCTCTGCCTTAATTGATGATAGATTATGGGCTTTTAGCTGGTCATTTCAGAGGCAATTTTTTTTGTTGGCATGATGGAAGAAATTTGCTAAGAAGCTATTCACAATTCCTTTTGCTATTCTATCTTGTTCAAAATGCCCACTGATATTTACAGTAGTTTGTACAAGCAGGCAGAAAAACAATTATGTATAACCAATTGATGTTCTGGATGCTTTATATAAAATGACAGGAATTGATTTAAACAATGTGTAAATATATAAAAGACAAATAAATAAATCTAAGATACCGATAGGTACCAAATGGATTGACAGAATCCATAGACAATAGAAGTGTTTAAGAGACAGTAACAATAAAAATAGATGATAATGACAGTAAAGATGAATGGGAATATTAACAAAGAAATTGTATAAGGGTGATGAGTAGGGTTTATTTGTAAAGAAGAAATAAGCAAGTTCATATAGAATGGATTGGTTAAGAAAATAATGGGAAAGGATGGATAGTATATAAAAGGAAAAGAGAAAATGGATGCAAAAATGCTGAATTGATGAAAAGTGAGATAAAGAAGCAAAAGAAGATTGTATGCCATGAATATAAAACCACAAAAAAGTTGAAGATGGATAAAAATGGCAGAACACAATCCACATAGTTAGAGAATGCATACGGTTAGGTAGGAACCAAAAGACCAAAGAATATGATAATAAATGAAATGTGATGGAAGGACAACTGTTGATTGTATGAGAGAACACTTAGAAAAAGGGATTACAAGAGACCAAAAGAAGGTAAAGATGTCAAAGACCAAGCAAGACTATAGGAAAAGGTTGAGATGAATGGAAGTGAAATGTAAACAGGCTAGGCAAACGAGTAGATAGAAAAGAGGAAGCAACAGCCAGTCCAAGAACATTATTCGCCAAAGTAATCAGAGAAAAGTGCGATAGCAGAGCTAGGTGGGCATCAAGTGAAATATAGGAATGAAGAGATGGAAAGGGAAGAGGCAGAGGAGAAACTGGTAAATGAATGTAACTGGATAACTAAATAGATGCAGGATACTGGGGTTCAGATGCCAATGGAAATGAAGATGAATGGGTGAAGAAAATGGAGGGATGAGCTTGTGTATCAGCTTGACTGAAGACCAGGATGAAGAAAGGCACTTTTGTTCCTTCCTTAGAACCTCATGGGAGGTGGAGCTTTGGCCAGGAACGTCCCAAGAGCCTCAAAACTTGGGCTCAGTCTTCTCTTCAACCACCACCACCACCACCACCACCACTTCCTCCAACGATGCATATGGCAGACCGGCCCCTCCTCACCACTTTCCTCCCTCCTCCTCTTTTCCCTCCTCCCCTTTCGTTGCTCCTCCCCCTTTCTCCCGGCGGCCATTGGCCCAATCCCGGCCGCCCCCTCACGCCGCCGCTCAGCTGAGGAGACAATGGGCGATCAAAGGAGGGGAGGGGGGAGGAGGAAGAGGATGGCGCTAGACGAGGCGAGAGCCCGGCCGGGTGGCGCTTTCTCTGCGCTCGATTAGTGATCCTAGAGAGGGAGAGTCAGCCAGGCGCCGAAGCCAAGCGCTGGAAGGGACACCGAGTGGTGGTGGTGGCGGCGGCGGCGGCGGGTACAGGGAGTCCTTGCCGCTGCAGCTGCTACCTCCTCCTCCTCCTCTTCCTCCTCCCTCTCCCCGCTCTCCCGCGCCTCGCGAGCAAAGTGTGTGCGAGAGAGTGTGAGTGTTGAGTGTGAGTGAGCGAGCCCCGTTGCGCAGCTTGGTTTGCGCACAAGCACCACCAGCAGTGGAGGAGGAGGGCGGCAGAGGCACTACCACCACCACCACTACCACTACCACCACCACCACCAGCGCCCGGGCATTTGAGGAGAGGAGCGCTGTGGAGCGAGGCAGAATACACGCATATCTGAGGAAGGCGGGCGGGGAGGGGAAGGAGGGAGGAAAAGCGAAGCGGCGGCAGCGGCAGAGGCCACACCAAGACACCCAAGTGAGACAAAAGTAGCTCCAAACCAGCACCCAACTCCACCTTGGGAAGCTGGCGGCAACCGGGCGCCTCAGCATGGCTTCCGAGGAACTCTACGAGGTAATCAGCCCCAATGCTTCCCCTTCTCCTCGTCCCCGCCTTATTCCTTATCCCCGCCAGCCCCCCCCCCCGCCTCCCCTCTCTTTTTTTCGGGGTGTGTGTGTGAGGGCTAAAAACCCGGCTCCCCCTCTCCTCAGTTTCTTTTGGCTTCTGGCTTTTCTTGGCGGGGCCCTGTGTGTGTTATATGTGTGTGTGTGTGTCTGTTTCCAAACTGCGAGCCTGCCTCTCTCTCTTCCCTCCCCCAGTTTCGCTAGAGGAGGACGGAAATATGACTGAAAGCAGGAGACGGTAAAGTGTAACCATTGGCTTGCGCTTTCTCTCGCTTCCCCCCCCCCCTTTTTTTTTTTTTTACCCCCCCCCCCCCCCCCCCCCCCCCTCCTCTCAACTCCACGGCCACCCCCTTTTGCCCTCTCCGGTCTCGCCACGAGGAAGGGGAAAAGGGTGGGTGCCGGACGTTAGGTTAGCGGCGCTGACAGCCGCGACTTTGCCCAGACCCTCTTGCGCACAAAAGTGTTTTTGGTAGTGTGCAAAAAATGTGTTGCAGAAGTCCTGCCCGCTTTTTGTGGGGGGGTGGGGGTGGAGGGTGCGTGGGAAGGCGAAAGGAAAGGTTATCTTCTTCTCTTTTGAAAAGTACATTGACACCTTTGCCTGGTGAGCCAGCTGCGTTGATGCACAAAACACCAAACATCCAAAACTAATACTAACTCTGCATTCTTTAGCAGAATGAACAAGTTTGGGGAGTTTTTTTTGTGGATGGGTGGGTGGAATGTGGGGGGGGGGAAGGTGTTGGTTGGCTGGTTCCAACCCATGCTATTTTATTTGAGGGATGCCCAGGTGGATTAAGCGTGGTAGTAAATAGCTTCATTGGCTTTGCTTGAGGATGGAGGAAGGTGACTTTTTTAACTTTGAATTTCCAGTCTTTTGATGCCATTTATAAAATCTTCAATGTACAGGCACAGGATGGGGGGAGGATTCCTTTTGGGTGCAATTTCTTGGTTTTTGTTTTTTTTTTTTAAAAAATGTTTTATGGAGTATTTTGTATAGGTTAATGCTTGCATTAAATTTTTGAAACCATTCTCATTCATTTGATAGGTAAAACTCATTGAAGAGCCTGTGCTAGTTTTCTTCTACCATGGACAAATACTTATGTAGATAGGTTTGATATATTTGTGTGTTTAATTTACTAGCAGCCATGTGAGTCTGGAACCTTAGAATTACTAAAATATATTCAAAAGTAGTACAGAACATAGGGTACAACTCTTTTAACACACTTACTAGGGATTGTGCTGCCTGACTTTATAACTTTATTTATAGTAAAATAGTGTTGTACCTAATGTTGAACTCTTAAGTGATGCAGTAGGAAGAATTTAGGAACTGAAAATATTTCCAGTTCAGCTGATCAGTGGAGAGTACTCCATGTCTATGAGTGAGTAGAGTTCAGTTTTTGAACAAATGAAGTTTTTGAACTAATCTGATAGATGATTATGTGCCACTAAGTGTTAACTCTTAAGAGACCACATAGATTTCATCTAGGATTATCTATTCCCAGTCTGGTCCTTTAGATCTTCCAGTAGTGTACATTGCTGCTCTAATGGAGTCCATCCATCTTGTGGTTGATCATCTCTTTCCTTCCACCTTTTCCAGTATTATAGTCTTCTCAAGAGAGCTAAATCTTTGCATAATGTGTTCCAAATATCATTTGAGCTTGGACATTTGTGTCTTGAATGAGAATTCTGAATTGATTTGTTCTTTGATCCAATAATCTGCAACCTCAGTTGATTATAAATTTATCATAAAAGTAAATTATGGCTAAAGATGGCAAAGATTTGAGGGATCTTTAGAGGGAGTACAAACAAATTATTTGAGGGAATTGTCAGTAATATAATAATTTAGCAGCAGGTTCAATCTGTTGGGATTTTTGAACCTATATTTCGTAAGTGCATATATTTTCTGAATTGTTTTTTTCTAGGAAGGTCATTGGACAATTTAATCCAGTTCTTTATTTCTGATGTTGGGGATTCTTGAATCTGTTGTCCAGAAATGGAACTTACAAGTTGCTTATGACTGTAGTAACCCATTCTGTTGACTGCACAGAATGCCCCCCTCCAAGCTGCATTGTGTTTATCACTCAGTCATGTTAATTGGGCTATAGAAAGCTAACCCTATGAATTAAAGAACTTGGAAGAATGTTTGAGAAAGCAAATTAAGATATTAAAGACTATGGCAGGTGCTTTATATAAGTACACCATTTGGACCTTAATTGGAATGGAAGAATTAACTAAGGCTATTACTGAAGATGGGTTAGGTATAGAAACTGTCTTTACAAATATTCTTGGACTTTTAAAAAAAGTTATCATAGAGTCTGCTTTACTATTGAAAAATTTAGTAAGAGAATTAAAAATAATCAGTTTCTTGATAATCATTCATATCACATTTCAGATGGAAGAGAACTGAATCTCATATTTGTAAAAGATAATCACACTGTTTTCAGCTGAGTTGTATGTCGTGTTCAGATAAGTTATGATACTGGGATTCTCTAATTTTTCAGTTTTTGGTTTGGAATTATTGCATTTGGAGGCAATAACAATCTGAATTAATTAAAACAAGATATACCTATTTTTTTTTGAAATTGTAGAAAATTGTCAAAATGAAATATAAACTTTATAGTAATATATGTGATAATCCAATTAGGAAATGGCGTTGATAAGATTTCCAAAACATTTTAATTGGAAAAACATTGATTAATAAATTATTTGATTTTGTGTATATGTGTGCGACTGCGTACAGAGGATTGTAGAAAAGAGACAGCACTGCAGCTTATGCAAAACAATTTTACCAACCCTTGCTTTCTTATAAAAGAAGAAATTGCTTGGAGAAGTTGTGGATTAAATTTATTTGTACTGGATTTAATCATCCTTTGGTTTATAAAAGAGTTGAAAGGATGATATGAACTTCAAATGGAATTAAATAAAATTTATTCAAGATGTTGGATAAACCATGAACAACAGTAATCTTCCTTCTTTCCACCCACCTACCTAGCCACCCATTTATGATATGGGCATGCTTTATTATAAGAAATTTATGCATTTTTAAAAAAACTTGATGAAATTTCTTCCATTTATCTTCAAAAACTTTAGAAAATAATTGGTAAATTACTTGCGTTACTGAATGACCCAAGTCAAGAGCAAGCACATATTACCTTTATGAATGACTTCTCTTTAAAAAATTTAGAATCAGTAAGTTATATGGAGTTGTGATTCCAAGTACATTAAATATACTATATAGTTTTTGACTTTATAGAGGTTTTATAGAAAAACCTTAATCTGTTTTAATGAAATACCTATGAATTTTTGGGGGGGTTAGATAACTGAAATCTGAATATGAGTTCTATAAAGGCGAATACGGTGACAATTTACATTAACATAGCTTCTAAATCATGGGAGATAATTCCACTTTATTTTGTTTTGACCAGATCTCACCTCAGATACTGTGTCTAGTTTTGGTCACCACACTTTAAGAAGAATTCAGCAAAACTGAAATAGAATTGGAAGGACACTGAGAATCATTAAGGGATTACAAATTCTTACAGAGATACAAGAGGTTGAAGTAGCTGAGCATGTTTAGGGTTGGGAACTGACAAGGATACAATCACCCTGTAAAAAAAGGCTTCTGCAGGCGGTAATAAGGGAAAATGATAAAAGTAGCATCACCCAATTCCAACATCAGGATAGTGCACGCACATACAAGAGAGAAGAAATTTGTCACAGTTAAGTGATGCATAATTGAGTGCTTCTGTGGTCATAATTTGACAAAAATGCTGTATCCTGCAGATTCAATTAAATGCGGATCCTATTCAGGAAAAGAGACCTCATGGAAAATGTCAGGACATATACTGGAATTATGGATTTAAGATCCAGAAAATCAAATTCCAACTGAATGTTTAGAAACGGCTTGTTAAGAGCATTTTGATGATAGAACTAAATATCCAAAAAGGTGCTGGGCCTTCTTGCATTGGATAAATTTAAGTAGAGGCTAAGTAATAATATGATGGGTGTACTTTAATTTCAATTCCTTCATTGACCCTGAGTTCAACTCTGTGGGCTAGATGATCCCTTCCCAAACTGTCTTAAAATAATTTCTCAGGTGCAGTTTCACAAGTAATTTCCTTGGCAGCTGGGAATACAGCATTTTCTTATGATGTCCTTGCAATGGAACTATTTCTTAGAGACTTTATATGGATTAGAAATTAATAGATAATAAAAGTGTTTCTTGTTTATTAAATTTATGCATTCTGCTAAACCATAATGTTCAGTATGTGGTATTATATATTGGTATTATACCAATATGTGGTGTAATCTCCAAACATTGAAGATTATGCAACAAAACATGGTAAAATAAATCTCGTATACAATGTGTGAATCAATCTTTTGGGTTTCATTTTAATTTTTTAAAAACATCATTTTTAAAATAAAATAATTTAAAATAAACAATTGGGAAGATGTGTTTATTTGTGTTCTTAATTGTTAGATGCTTTGCCCTTCTAATGAATGAATGACAATTTTGTATTTTTTTCTTATTTAGGTAGCTTTAATAATAGTACAGGTAGTCCTTGACTAACAACAGCTCATTTAGTGACCATTCAAATTTCTAAAGGCACTGAAAAAAGTGACTTAATGGTTTTTACAGTTACAATCTTTGCACCAGCCCCGTGATCATGTGATCAAAATTCAGATGCGTGGCAACTGGTTCATACTTATGATCATTGCAGCGTCCTGGGGTCATGTGATCACTTTTTGCAATCTTCTGACAAGCAAAGTCAATGGGGAAGTCTAATTCACTTAACAACCAGATTACTAATTTATCAACTGCAGTGATTCATTTAACAACTGTGGCAAGAAATGATGTAAATGGGGCAAAACTCACTTTAAAAAATTGTCACCTAACATAAACTTTGGGCTCAATTGTGGTCATAAGTCGACGACTATATGTATTATATGATA